TTCCTTTTGAAATCTTACAGCTATACAAAGATTTGCATTTGGCTTCATAAGATCTACATGCCAACTACCTCTGGATATCTGAACAGTCAAAGTAGCAGAGATTTATTTATGCCAAATACTAACATAACCAGAAAAAAAATATCTCCAAAGGGGACTCTCTAGTCTAAGCAGCCGTGTCCCGCCTATCTGACTTACTATTTCACTTGTGAACTGCTGATATCTGCCTAGCAGCAAGGATAAAAAGTCCTAATGTGAACCACAAGAGATACATTTTGAATGTATATAAACCTTCACACTGTCTACATTTTAGACTGAAAGCAACAGTGAAATCTATCTTGTAGACACTTTTCTTGTATTCCCAAGTTTCAAAACAGGACAGCACTAAATTTCAGATTTTCCATCAATAGTTGTGTAGAAAGACAGCCAAAGATCAGAGAATTGAAAAGTCAACCAAATTAGGTTAAGTCTGAGTTTCTGCCCTCTCACTTTGCTGCCTGTGTGAACTTAAACAACTATATTTACATGAAACATATAGTATACATACAAAAATGGAAAACATTAACATTACAATGTGGTCATTTAATTTTAAATACACCTGGGGGGGAAGCAAACATTGTTTAAAAATGAACAATGATGTAACATATATATAAATAAAAAATAAATACTCCTGGGGCCTCCCTGGTGGCACAGGGGTTAAGACGCAACCTATGAAGAAATCTGCAGTCACTGCAGCACGAGTTCGATTCCCGGCCGGCCAGGGAGAAACCCATATGGCAGGACAGCCCTCTCCTGTCTTGCCCGCTGCTCCCCTCAGCAGTGTACTTTGGTCTGTCTGCCTGTTCTGTCCCCCACTCTGTCTCTGGTGGATCCTCTCACCCCCCACATCTCTGGCCTGTACCCCAATTCTTGTATAAAAATAAATAAATCTTTACACTTGATCTTAGCCAAAAGGCCGAGAAGCGATAATAAATAAATCTTTAAAAAATAAATAAATACTCCTGTAAAAAACGATCTTTTCTATAATATTTTACTTATAAGTTAAAAGGGGAGGGGAACTAGAGATACATCTCTCTTACAAGCCATCCATTCCTCAGAGGAATATTTAATTTTTTTTTTTTTTAAGACAAAGACTCCCTATAAATCACTCACATCCTACCTTGGTATACTATAATTTGATAATCAAATTGCTTCACACCCAGCTAAGATATTCAGTAATAAAACATTTGATGGGAAAAGGTGCCTCCAGCACCTGGAACAGTTTCTGGGACACACAATAAAAGAGTGTGAGACCAAAGTCTTGGTCGCTCAAAGGAAGGACATCCCTCTGTAGCCAAAGACTAGCATGAGATACTTCAGGTACGTAAGGTGAGAGGAAGGGCTAATGAGATCCAGAAATGAATACAGAAGGGTAAAATCTAACTTAAAGTCTAGATAGAACTGGCCAAATCTAGCATGCCACTCGAGGCTTCCAACTATCAATACACAACAAACACCACAAGGCATAAACCATTTCCAAGTAAAACACCAAGTGTATTAGAATACACATATACTCAAGACAGTGCAAAACAATTTGGGGTTTACACTATATAACAAAGGAAATATAATTAAACTAATGATACTTTGTTGCTGTTTGTAATTTGAAATCAATCTTTCCATAAAATGGAGGAACAGTTGGGCAAATTAGATTTAGTAAGTATATGCTGAACTTACTTGAATTCTACACATTTGGTCAAGGTCTGGGAAAAAAGATGTATACCACAAATCAAAAAATTTAGATCCTAACTCAAAATGTCTTACTTAAATTCCTAAATGAAGAGTCCCCTGAGATGATGCAATGGTGTGATATATTTCTAAATTATATTTCTAACAGGCAGTGTGGAATAATGATAAGATCAAGACTTGGTAGCAGTCCTAGTGCTATCATTTGTATACCCTTTAGCTAGTTACTTAATCTCCCTTAGTCTCAGTTTGTCAAGTGTAAAGTAGGAATATTAATACATACCACAGCAAGCTGTTATGAGGTAAAAGTAGGAAAAGCGACTGGCATGTCATGAGCAGCCAGTGATCCATTTTCCTCCATCTCCTGACCCCCATGACAACATGCTCTGCTACCCTGACAGCTGATATACCTTTTATCTGGCCATGCAGTTCAAATGTTTGCTTTCAACAAGGCCAAGCTGCTGGCAAAACTGTCTCTTCAAGTTACTCAAAATGGTTAAACTTTAGGCTATCTGAAAAAGTCTTCAAGTAAAGCAGAATATGATTGCAGATTTTCTGGAGGATTACGATTGCATCTGTTGTTCCCTTTGAAGAGAAAGGATGGCGTGACTGAGCACAAATCCTCTCAGCGCTCCTGGGCACTGTGCAATATGAAACTTGTTGAGGGTGATTGCTTCACTGGACTATAATACATCAAACACCAACTGCAAACTGAAGTTTTTATTGCAGCTGTTCTAACATTTTGAAATTTCAGGAGCAACAATGCAACAGCAACAATGTAGAGGAAAGGTAAGTGTGATATTTTAATCTTATCACTCACCCCACTCACTGGGTTAATAAAATATAGACAAGAAGCCTTTGAAAATGGGACTTAAACCCCAAAGCTGGAGTCTTTGACTGTCCTATCTGGACCCACGAACACTAAAATGCTAGAGAGGGCTTAGCCATCTCGTCTTTTGATGGATGAAAGCCCTACCTCAGTACAGGTAAGGGCTGCCTAAAGATATGGAACAGATAAGATTTATGAGTCAACACCCCATCTCCTGCCACAAATCTACTGATCCAGCTCCTAAGATTGCCCAATCACTCTCTGAGTCCTGCTATTTCAGCCCCCTGGTGGGCTGACTTCTCTGTATTTCCTCCCTACTCCCTAGATGCTCTGCTTGTCCTTGTTTTTACTGCAAAATGCTTTGGCAATTTCTGCCCTAGTTGGGATATTCCTGGCAGGATACACTATAAGGTAACTAAAGGCATTTTATATTTTGTATATAGTTACATGTGTTAAAAGCATCTGAGTTCCATTTCTAGCTCTGCTTCTGGTGACATTTGATAGTTTACTTTGATAGTTTACTTACCAGGCGTTAGCTTGACTTATTTACTTTCTCTAAGTGAGCCATTCACCTTCTCTAAGCCTCAATTTCCTCATCTAAAATTAGAACTATCATACCTGCCTGTTTCATTTCACAGGATTGTAAAATAAAATGAATTTTATAAATATGTATGTGTATATGTGGGTATATGCGAGAAAGAATATATGAAAAAGCTTTGCAGATGATTGAATTTCTACCCCCCAGGAGATTGGACCTTTGTAAAGAGCTGAAGAAAGTAGTTGATAGGTCAAGTTGAATGTCCTTTAGTTCCCAGAACAGTCTATAAGTGGATCAGTGAATTTTCTCCTCTATGTCCACACAGTAATTTAATGTGTTCTCCATTTCTCTTTTAGGTATCATTTATTTTACACCTATACTTTCTCACTAGCACTTCTTCAGTCATAAAAACCCAACTGGAAGGTAAAAGCATCAAAGAGTTTTTAGAATACACAATACTTGACAGAGCAGGATGAGATCCCATCCCCCTTAAAGTCTTTTGTACTTTCAGTAACTCAATGACTCCTCTGTTTTCAACTCCTGGCGCTGTGTGGACACTCATCCTCCCTCCTTGGAGTCCTAGAGAAATGGCCCAGCTCCAGCCCTGGCCAACGTGGTCAAGCTCTGCTTCCCTTCCTGTACTGGTGAGCCAAGGTCTGGACACCCAGGAAGGAGGGATTTCCCTCAAGCCCTGCAGCCAGCTCTTGCTTTGTTTCCACCAGGCCCTGTCTGGCACTTCATTCCTCCAGCCTCAAGTAGACATGGGAAGGGAGAGAGGTTAGGGGGTTGTTCTCAAGGTCCCCCAGAAACTTCAATCAAACAAGAAGTCTACGATCAAACACTCCACGAACCAACAAAAGCTGCAAAAACTCCAAACCTCACACTCTTCCTTCCATTCTCCAGACCTTGACTGTTTGTCTCCTCCTGCTAAAGTCCCCCTCCCGCAGCATCCGCCTGAGCTCCCCTACTTGCCTTTAAAATTAGGAAAATGAGAAGAGAAGAAAGTGAATATTTAGCATCTGCTGCCTTAACCATTAACTGCATGTTCATCCTTTCATGGCCACGATGCAAAGACTATGGTGAGTGGAGTCAGATACAACCTACACCTGGTGTCCAGAGAGCTCCGTCCACTCACAGAGGAGGAAGGCGCAGAGCCCAGCTCTGACATGACGTTACCTCCATGGAAAGCTGTGAAATGGCTCCTAACTTGGTCCAGGTCGCTAAGGGCCAAGCCAGACACGCCATTCCTGTCCATTTTGATGAACGGTATGTAAGCAATGAATGGTTTGGTTCCAAATTACAAGAAGACCAATATGTCTCACCTGTGCCCTACCTCGGCCAAGGGCAAATGCAATTTCATAAGCAAAAAGAAGGGGATAAATGCAAATGTGAATCATTCCTAAAAGAAAAGACAGTTCTCCTGCAAAGGCCAATGCCACTTGACTACAATCAGTCCAAAAGAATAAACAGGAACAGGCTACATGTCTTCATCTGATGTGGCCCAGCGCCAACCTGTCAGAAACTTCATCTGCTCATGTAAGAGGTAGGGAAAATACAAATTTGGAAGAGAGTTTGGTCTGTAATTTAAAGAGACGGGAACAGACATTATCTCTAAACAAACTCGCTGTATTTGGTGTTGCAATCAGTCAGGGTCTGGCAGAGAACTAAGGGCACGCTCGGCTGGCTCAGGGGGAGAGTGTCATAAAGGGTTAACAGCTTGAGGGAAAGCAACAGTGATGGTGCTGCATGAGGGCCAGCACCAGCAGAGCCACCAGCTATGATCTGGGGCTAGGGAAAGAGAAAAGGCAGTTGTTAAGGCAAGGGTCGCCGGGACGGAGCTGTAAGATTTGGTGGAACACAGCCAACCCCATGCCAGCCAAGGAGATAGCCCAGGAAATAAACCCTCCTCCTAACCTCCAGTGTCTTGCTGAGCTTTCCTCTGGTGTCACCTCATCACAAGTCTGAGGACAAAGGAGCCCGGGGTACAGTCCAGAACAAAGTCTATCTGGAAGAATAAACAAAAAATAATTAGCACAAAGATTCCCTAGATGGTCTATATTCTGTAGGAATATGCCAAGTGTTATAGGTTGAATTGTGTCATCCAAAATAGGATGTTCAAGCTTTAAGTTGTGACGCATCTACTGACCAAGATATAAAAAGGGTTGTCAGCAACCACCAGAACTAGGAAGAAGCAAATAAGGATCCTTGCCTAGAAGCTTCAAAGAGAGTATGGTCCTGCCTGTCCCTTGGACTTCTAGGTCCCAGAACTAAGAGACATTAAATTTCTATTGTTTTAAGTCACCCAAATTTGTGGCAACTTAACAACAGTAGCCCTAGAAAACTAAGTGTCCTTGTATATAATGCACAAAGGAGCCTGGATCAGCATCAACTTGAAGGTGTTACTACGCTTCACACAAATAAGACAAATGAAAAAGAACTTCCCAAAGCAGTGATGTAACGGGCGGAAGGACACTGAGCTGGTTTTCTATGATCCCAAGCAGACAGGATAAAGGAGAGAGTCCTGGAGCCCTCGGTGGCTTTTGCAGGCTTTTATTGGGATTTACCAGGTACACAGCAGGCAGGGGTGCTGGGGGGCCAGGAGGCTGGCAGGCCTCCCAGCCCCCAGCAAGTCTTCCCTCTGTCTGGGCTCTCTGACGTTCTCTCACTTTCTCTCTGCTTCTCTCGCAGGTCTCCTTTGACCATTCATTCTGCTTCTGCTCCTCTGCATCTGCTGGCGTCCCTGTGATGCTCCCCTTAAAAGCCCAGTCTCAGCCCAGGTGAATCCCATCTACCTATGCCCACACCCTGCTCCAGGTGCCCGCCATCAGGCATGCACTCAGGACCACAAGGATCCATCATCTATCCTGATGGTGGGAGGGCAGAAAAGCCTGATACCTTTTACCTTACCCTACAAGTGATTTCAAGAGGGATAAATCATCCTTTTAAAATGGAAAGGGCAGAGTTTCTATTATTCACTGCTATTTGTGAATTGTATGCTGTTGATCACTCAGGCAATACAAACGTTCCTCTAACTACCAGGAGTGGGACATTTTTGTGACATCTTAGAAGCTTCCATAACAACAGTGGTTCCAAACAGTGGTTCTCAGCCACTGAGGGACTATATTGTCATTTGGCAATGTCTGAGGACATTTTTTGTTGTCAAAATCAAGAGGGTGTTATTTGTATCTACAGCATAGAGGCCAAGGATACTGTTAACCATCCTACAATACAAAGGCAGCCTCCAAAACAAAGAATTCTCCACTGCAAAATGTCAATAGCACTGAGGTTGAGAAACCCTTACTTATAGGAATATTCTAGGAATCGAAGATGGGAAAATGATTTATAATTGCTTTAGCAAGAACCCATTTTAACTCTAAGACATTTCTTCATAGGGTGCTTACATAAGGGCACATCTCAAGGAGGCTAAGAGACTAATTCTCACTACAAACTACAAACATAGGCTCCTTCATCCACCTCTCCCTCGTTAACAGCATTTTTAGCTAGGCTTTGCTTTCCCCATCTGTGATATGGGATCAAAAATAGTACACAGATTAGTTAGAGTAAAAGAGAAAACATAAGAAATGTGCCTAACATAATCCTTGCCATACAGTAACGTCTCCAATAATGCTGCTATTATTATCATCACCACTATTAACACCACAATTATTCCTACAATTACTACCCTCTGAGTGTCAGGGGCAATGCATCCCATCACTGCTTTATCCCATAGTAAACTCCCATCTTCATTCTCAGCTTTCTGTTTAATATCACCTGACTCGAAGAGATCTCTGCAAAATGAACTGCTTCTCTTAGACAAAAGTCTGAAACCAACCAAAAATCCACTGCCACAAAAACTATTAAACTACAATGAAATGCCAGATGAAAGTCTTATTTTTCCTGAATTACCAAACATCATTACCAAAAGTTCTCTATTTCCTTATTTTATAATTAAAAAAAAAAAATAAAAAACCCTACTCTGTATTTGGTTTTTCTTGGTTTGGCAAAAACAATCCTGAATTTTTCACTATTCAATTATGTGCTAAAAAAATGTTTCTATCATTTCATGGAAATTAAGCTGGTTCTATAAATATAATGAAGTGTTTTAAATTATCATAGATCTATTTAAAAGGCAGAAGGCTGCTTTCCCTAGATCATGAATCTGTGTAGAAAAAGACACTGAATCTAAGCAGAGGTTTAGAAACTTTATCTCAAGTAATTCTCATAAAAACTAGGCAAAGGAGGTGCATTTAGTTTTGTTTTTCGGATTCTGAAATTAAGTCTAAGAGATTAAATAACTCACCTGTAGGGGCAGGAATGGGCCACAGAGCAGGTTTTCTGATCCAGCAGTCCGGGTAAAGGAGGAGTCAGAATCTTTAGTGGCTTTTTGCAGGTCTTTGTATTGGGATTTACCCCGGTACACAGCAGGCAGGGGTGCTGGGGGACCGGGAGGCTGGCAGGCCTCCCAGCCCCCAGCAAGTCTTCACTCTATCTGGGTTCTCTTGCTTCTCTCTTGCTTCTCTTTCAGCTTCTCCTGGCGTCCCCGTGATGCTGCCCTTAAAAAACACCGTCTCAGCCCAGGTGAATCCCATCTACCTCTACCCACACCCTACTCCAGGTGCCCGCCATCAGGCATGCATTCAGGACCACAAGGATCCATCATCTATCCTGATGGCGGGAGGGCAGAAAAGCCTGATAACCTTTTACTTTACCCTACATACCAAACATGGTTTCTAAGGGATTGAGTCTAGCATGAACCCAGAGGCGGCCTGCTCAGAGCCCTTTTGACGACACTGTGCTCCCAACCAGCAGTCTGCACACTGGGCACTTACTCCTGACGCAGAGAAGAGCAACTGAAGATCACACCGGCACTAAAAAGGTCATCAGTGAATGTTCTTCACTGGGCCAAGTTCTCATCAAAGTTTCTCTCCCGACAGCTTTAAAAGTAACTTTGAAACAACTGCGGCCCTTGTTTTGTCACCAAATTTACAAATATTTGCCCCTTTATTTCACATGCTATTTGCTTCCCACATCCACCCATTCGATGACTATTGTTCTTGGAGACCCCAGAGTATAGATGTTGAGGCAGATGGACTCTGGTTCTCTACAAGATTCCAAAAAAAGCCAGGCCAAATGAAACCCAACAGGATGATGAGGAAAGCGTAAGGGAATGTTCATCTTCTCTTCCTCATGCTCTCAGATGGCTGCGACCTGAGTTCATTCTGTCCCGTCTTAATTTCATCTAGAGCTCTGTTACACCGCCAAGGCTCATTTTCCTGCCAGATACCATAATACTTTCTTTGACACATGTTGTTATTCACCGTTAAAGGGATGCCAAAGTCAACCTGAGGCAGACTTAACAGGTAGCATTTGTTCAGCACTCATGATGTCACAGGCGCTGTGCTAAGTAAGCACCTTCTGTGGATCATCAACAGCACATACATATGGAGGAAAAGAACAATGAAAGAAACTCCCTCTGAAGGCTGGCTTCAGCAAATGTGAAGCACCAAAGGGCACCTAATATATGGAGAGGAGTTGGTTTAGGTTGATATTGGCGACCTGCAGTTTTCAGTCACTAGCCTAAGAGATGGTGTTTAAAGGAAAGAAAAAACAAAAAGACCTGCAAGACCAGGGTCAAGTCTGACATTCACAAACGATCAGAAGTTCTCATAATGGCAATTTTTTAAAGCAAAAAGCTGCGTGACCTGAAAGCTACACAGAGCATTATTAAGGAGAATATTTGTGGGTATCGATACATGTCATTAAAAAAGCAACCTGACACAGGGTGTCTTTTACTCACTTTGAGACTCTTGCACACTCATTTTTGTCTTAAAATGACATACTGGTAGAAAAATTAATATGCCTTTTAAAATTCAGAAACACTTTTTTTCTAAGTAATTATGCACGATTTCCCCAATAACATCTTAACTGCTTTGCACCCGGAATACATAAATATATGGAAATACGCATGTCAATAGCACAGTAGGTTTACATAATTGCCTTTGTTCTACAGCATTTCCATCACAGAAACTCCAGTTTCCTCTAGGTGATTCAATAAATATACTCATGGGACCATCTCAATCTCAAGATTCCCATTGAAAATGATTTTCCCCAAGTTTAGTATGTATCAATTAAGTTGCCATTTTTTACCCCAAAGTTATGTGCAACTTGATCAATTCTCATCGGTGAGATGGCAAGAAGTGGTTAGAATTATCACACTACTCCCCTGGAGTAGTTAGTACAAGGCAGTAGTTAGTATAAGTAGTTAGTACAAGACAGTTCGTACAAGGTATTTGGTGCTCACCCCATGCCTTGAACCCCACAAGAAAGTAAAGTAGGATGGAATGGCAAGGTAGGTCAGGAAAGGTAGGGCGAGGGTCGCTGGGGAGACAGGAGTGGGGGTTGAATGTTAGTATAAGAAAAAAAAAAAAGAAAGCCAAAAGAAGTAAATGATGCCTACTGAGGAGACAGGGCATGGTGACGGGGCCTTTGAGGTGCCTTTGGGCCTGAAGGAGCCGCTGAGCTGCAGCTGTGGTGGCGTGAGGAGGGCTCGGCTTCCCGATGTCCTGGAGATGACAGGGCGAGGGGGGCTGTCAGCCAAGCTCGCCTCAGGTGGGTCTAGAGTGCCAGCGACCGCCCTCAAGGCAAGCAGGCCTCCCCCACCCCACAAACAGAGCCAGAGCTGAAGGCTGCAGAACTTTCCGGAAAGGCACACAGGGAGGCCAGGAAGTGGTGGGTGTGCTTCTGAGGAGCACCTGGCTGCTGCACCTGCAGGCTCCTCACCCCCTGGCGGGATGCCCCTGGACTTAAGTGGCATGGCCCAGGCAGTGGCCAGATTGTGGCCTGATTTCTTCTTTGACAGGCTCTCGGCCCAGGATGGCAGGAGCTGCTTCTCCTCTGCGTTGGGCTGTAATCGGGCCTGTGGGCCTTGGCTGCCTGGCCCAAGCCCCCTGGCACGCTCTCCAGGGACACCCTGATTCTCTATAGCCTCGAGAGGCAGGGAATCAGATCCTCTTGGCCAGATCTTGAGTGACAGGACCGAATCGAGGTTGCTGTTGTCAGGGAAACGCTCGGAGACCCATGTCTAGAAAGCAACTGCTTTCTTCTCTTTTGCAGCTCTTGGCCAATTTCTTCATGCCCTGGAAGCAGGCCTGCAGCTCTTTCTTCTCTGTCATCTTTTCTTAGCATCCCCTGATGCTCCCTCTGCCTACCCTCCATCATGTGTCATGGCAGGTGAGAAAAGTGGTGGAGGCTGATTTTAACGGCCACAGTTCAGACCGACAGCTCATACCACACAGCAGGTCCTCAGCCTCCTCTCGCCTGCATTCTCCGACACTATCCTGATGAGCCAGATGTGATTTCAGAATACCCTGACAGCCATGAGAAGTTTAAAGACAGCTTATTTCAAATCTGGGAATTGGAGGCTCCTTAACATGAGCTTCTTAAAAAATGAAAAGGAAGTGTGTCCATGTAAAGCAGATAATAGATGGACGCAGAAGTGGCGCCATCTGCCCCCCAGCCCTCTTTGTCACATTTCTGGATCCAGGACAGCATGCCCTGAGGTTCTGGTATTCCCCCCGCACCCCCAAGCTGGTGGATGTGGTTGATTCTGACATGCCCCGGGGTTCTGGTATTCCCCCCACCCATCCAAGCTGGTGGTTGTGGTTGATACTGAATGGGGTGGTGACAGCTCCTGGCCAGAGCTTGCTATAGAAACAGAGATGAAGATGTCCTACATCAGAAGAATACTGTTGGACTCGGAGCTTCATCCTCTCATTTGGATCTGACACCACCTGCAGCATCCCTGTCCGTCTCCTCCCTGCCCCCAATGCCTGCTCCCTTCTGCTCTTGCTCCTGCTCTCCATTATCAGCTTTCAGGAACTCTTGCCGACTCCTCACCCCCCTAAAGCTGTCTCATCATCTTCTTTGCATTCCTGAGATTCACCCTGAAGGGTGTGGCAGTGGAGGGAGTGTGTCTAATGACTTGATTGCTTGTCTTAGGGAATTTTTGCAACATAAAAAATTGCTGTCAACATTACTATTATTTAAGAGTTAGAAGTTTTTTGAAGGCCAGATTTTACTGGTCATTACAAAGGTATTTCTGAGCTATTTGGTACATGTTCACCAAAATGCACACAGCAATATAACCTGAAAATTTTAATATGCCTTCCATTTTGACTTCCCCTTCCATTCTATAGAAAATTTCCCATGTGTGAACACAGTAGATCATCAGGAGAAAGCTAATATCTTAATAATAACTCTTCTGTCTTCTAACGAAATATGAGGAGACTGAGATTCCAAAGGTTTGGAGCCCACCAAGCCCACTGGTTTTCACCCAGCTACAGCTGCCGTTCGGGTCATCTGGGCCACGTCCAGGCCTCTGTCTACTCTTCCACACCACCTGATCTTCTGAGTTCATTCTTCCAATGTTTTATTAGTTTTTTATTAGTTTTACAAAATTTGTTTCACTCAGGAGACCTGATTTCAGATAAGCCCAGGCAGACTCCAGAATTAGGATCTGAGATCTTGGGGTCAGAGCCAGGGTCAGGGAGTTTTAAGAGTGATGGGGGCAAGAGGCGGCCTCCCTGGTGGTGCAAGGGAATAAGACGCAGCACTATGAAACTATGTGCAGTCACTGCAGCGTGAGTTTGATCCCCGGCCAGGGAGGTGACCCTAATGGCACAACAGACCTCTCCTGTCTCACCCGCTACACCCCTCAGCAGTTTTTTTCAGTAGATCCACCTGTTCTGCTCTGCACTCCGTCTCTGGTGAATCCTCTCACCCCCTCCCCACACTTCTGGCCTGTACCCCAGTTCTTGTATGCATAAATAAATAAATATTTTTTAAAAGTAATTTTATTTTTTTTTAAGGTTCATTTATTTATGTGTACAAGAGCTGGGGTACAGGTCAGAGATCTGGGGGGTGAGAGGATTCACCAGAGACAGAGTGGGGAACAGAACAGGCAGATTGACTGAAATACACTGCTGAGGGGAGCAGTGGGAGAGACAGGACAGGTCTGCTGCGTCATGTGGGTTGCTCCCTGGCCGCCGGAGGATCGAACTCATGCTGCAGAGGCTGCGGATTGCTTCATGATGCGATACTTAATCCCTTGCACCATCAGGGAGGCCAAAAAAAGAGTGATGGGGAAGGTCAAGAGGGCTCTGAGCTCTGTAAAGAGCAAGCTGCCCAGAGGAAGACTGGTCTAAGGAAGATGCTTTCTGAGTAAGGCCCTACCAGAGGGAGGGCCCGTAGAAGGAGGAAGAAGGAAACCCAGGCTACTTGACCTCAGCCACTTTGCTGCCCAAATGCAGTCTTCACTCAGAGAAGAAGAGGAGAATGAAAAAGTGTAAAGACAGAGGAGGCAGAAGAGATGGGAAGAAGACAGGCAAGGGCAAGTTATGAACGTTGGTATCTGAGAGACAGGTGATCAGGAAAACAGAAGTAGAAATGCGAGAGAAATTGGCACCATGTTTTTCTATTACTAAAATTCAAAAA